TACATTTCTTTATGTTATTTGTACCAGTAACCGGTTTATGGATGAGTGCTCTTGGAGTAGTCGGTCTGGCTCTGAACCTACGTGCCTATGACTTCGTTTCCCAGGAAATCCGTGCAGCGGAAGATCCTGAATTGCACCCACAAGATGGTGATAGCTTTTGTGCATCTCAACATAATTTTATCCCTTTTTTTTATGATTGGAAAATGAGGTCTTGAAGAGATCATGTATTGGGTTGTGCCCACCTGCAACCAAAAACAGAACTTGGTGGTGATGAGTGATGACAAGCAAAGCAAATACTAGGTCTCCTTTGCAATGTTTCACCAGAGTTAATCTTCAAGTGGTAAGCTTTGCCTAATTTTGTGAGGAGTAGACCCCAATAAAATGGAGTTAGCATAGAGAACTACCAACCAAGGCTTAGGGTCCGTTTGGCGTGTCTTTCCACGCGGTCATTCGGCTGTTTACAAGCCGGGAAGACCGCTTTTCGGCTATTCCTGTTTGTCTCGTGAAAGATCTAGCCGCCAAAAGACGGTGCGCCGAAAAGACGCGAGAAGTCCATTTCGGGCTGATTTGGGAAGCTTCATTAGCATCTTTCGCGTTTTAATCTCGTGTGGAAAGACGTGGGCAAATGCACGGAAAGATGCGCGTCTGACAAACTGTCTTCGGGCTGCCCAGATCTTATGTCAAAAGCTCAATGTGTCTTTTGAATGTCAGAGCTACAAGAAGATCTTCTCAAAAAGATGCGCCAAACAGGCCCTTAGTAAATGGAGGCACAAAAAATGCCCAAATGGAGAAATAGTCCAAATATGAGAATCAGGAATCTAAGTATCAAAGAAGACCCCTTCCAAAGAAGATAACATGCTTAAGCACTAGGTCACACCAAATCCCTTAAACCTCCCCTTAAGCCCAAATTCCAAGAAACTTCATAAATCGAGTGAGAAACCAGCATGAAGATGGGCATATTCTTTACCAAAGAAGTGGAGTAGATGGATGGGAAGAGATCCTTCAAAGGGTGGTCTTTTCAAAACCTCACCTTCTCAAAACCAATTGAAGCATCATAACAAATGAATTGAAGGAAACTAGGAAGAATAGGAAGATAGCTTTCCAAGGAGAGGCATAAGCCACTCTAATAGCTAATTTTGTACCCCATTTGTATGTGTCCCTCCCATGAATGCTACCAATTAGATTATGCCACAGATAATCAGAGTCTAAGAGTAACTGCCAAAACCAATTACCAACCAGTAGGGGTGAGCATTGTTTGGTTAAAACCAAAAAATCGAATCGAAAATTTTGGTTTCGGTTTTTTTGGTTCGATTAGTTCAATTTTCAGTTAATTTGGTTTTATAAAATTTCAGTTTTCGGTTTCAGGTTCTGGATTAGGAAATTCGATTAACTGAAAAAAACTGAATTAGCTGAACTTTGTTATTTATAATATATGCATATATTTATATATATTAATATATATGTTACATATCATATAGAATATCTATACTATATTATAATATATTATATCATATGTTAGAACATATAATATTATATATATATTATAATTTACTTAATAATATATTAATGTACATTAATATATTAAATAAATTCGGTTTTAATTGAAACAACCGAAAACGAATTGAAAATTTCGGTTTTGGTTATTTTGGTTTAGTTCGGTTTTACATTTCAACTTTTGGTTTTAAAAAATTTGGTTTATTCAGGTCGGTTTTTAACCAAATAAACCGATTGCTCACCCCTACCAACCAGAGCTGATTTTTTGTTTTTTACAGTAAGCTGAGCTGCTTTTTTTTTTTTTTTTTTTAAGTAAGCAGAGCTGTACTTTTAAAAGCCAAAATTCCAATTTCCATAGTCCTAATCCACCATCCCTCTATTATTCTAGAGTAGTGCTTGTTTAACATGGGTGTGAGGTTCTTTTGTTGATAGAAAATTGGTTATGAAGAGCCTTCTTGGTCCTGTACAATGCAGATGGAAGTGTCTTGCAGTTCTACTTTGTTGGTGGATGCGATTAGACATATTGGAGATCGTGGGGGTTTTCATTTTATATAGGAACTTTTGCATAGGATGTTTTGCTTGTTTGATCTGCTGGGTAGCCCTTTCAGTTTGTCACGTGCTTGTGGGCTTTTTAACCCCTTTGCTATTGTCTAGACTCTCTAGATCATAGGCACTCCACTTATATATATCGTTTCTTTTTTAAATGCATATTCTTAACTAGTCATTCTGTCAATGGGTTCTGCAATCAAACATTTAGACAGGAGACCTTGACGTGACAGGCAAATGAAACCTGGATTAGTGGCAATGTGTGCTTGAATTGAACATTGGATTCGGCTTAATAAGGAGCTTTTGGTATCTGATGATGCAGGGTATTCTCCATCCCTTCTTATCCCCACTCCAGCATTTTAGTTAGGGATTCAAGAAGAGAAAAGACTGATAAAAACCAGAACTGCCCATGTGGGTTTGCCAACAGTCCAACAGGAGCTTTTAAATTAATGCAAAAATTTTAAATGGCCAATGTTAGTGCACACCCATGGACGCATGGACTTTGTGGGATTGGAATAAGATGCTGAGTTTTCTAGAGTTTTACTCTTTCGTAAAAATTTGTTGCTTTTGAATTGCATTTCTATGGGTGGTTGAGTAGGGAGCGTTTCTTGTATCCATTAAAGTTACGTACAAATTATCTGTTAGCACAATGATGGGTGTTGGCGTGATCTTGAGCAGAGTGTTTCAATTTTGAATTTTGTACCTTTCTCTCTTCTATTAAGGTTTGGGGTTGGTGCTCTCTCTCTTCTCTGTAAGAAGCCTAGCAGAACCTGGTACAGAGAGAGATGCATCTGGGTTGAACTTAGCACTTCAAAGGGCATCGTAGGGTTTTTAAAATATTATGAAGATCACATAACGTCACATGCTAATGTTTTATCAACAGAGGGTACAATTAAGTACAATGGGGCCCAGCCCACAAGGAATACTTTAGTCCATTTTAAAAACTCAAGGTATATTTAAGTCAATTTGTGAAACCCTAGGGTATGTTTAAGTCTGTTTAGAAGGGAATAGTTTAATTAAATTTTGATGATCTTTGACTTGTTATTAATTCTTCATGTATGTACCTATACTGATACGTAGCTGTTTACAGTTTTCACTGCCTTTACCTCAAGGTGGAAGAGATGCAATCACCAAAAACCTCATTTTACGTGAAGATCAGTTACCACATAAAGTCCTGTACCCCAAGATAAAGAAGAAATCAAATAAACAGGTTGAGTTTCTCTTGATAAGTACCACAGTTTCTTCTTCTATATATATATATATATTTTTTTTTTCATTCATATTGATTTTACATGATTTTTCTGTTTATGTGGCACATCATTAATATTACATCATAACATAGGTTGGTTTATTTCTTTACTGTAGGGAGAGGACATTTTAACTTCTGACAATATCTTTGGCCCAGTTTCTGGCAAGAAAGCTCCTTTGAAACCTCCAATCAGACAAGCATTAGCAGTTTTCAGTGGAAAGAGGAATCCTAATGATAATCATTATTCTCGTTCTAAGCACTAGTTCCATTAGGCAGCTCAAATGGTGGCTTCATCGCCTCTTTTTCATTTCTTTAGCATTAATATTCAGAATGAGCACAGAAAATGCACATCACATAGGATCTAGTGGGTTTATGACCAAATCTGCCCCTTTCCTTTTTGATTTTTTTTAGAACTTTTATTTTGAACGGAAAGATGGGCAGGTCTGGAGCCTTCTCGGACATGTCTATGGTTTTATTCTAGCTTCTATTACTGCACTTTCCCTTTGGCTCGGTTTGTTTGTGGTGCGAGTTTCATCTTCAATGGTGTAAATGCATGATTGCAAATAGGTTCGGTGTAATTTTTTCTTTTAACCTGTGATATCTTTTTGTTTTTTAGAAGTAAAAATAGTATATAAAAATGAAGTAATCTCCACTTTATACACGAAGCCAGTCGATGTGTTCTCTGGTTTACATGAGAAAGAATTGGGGTAGGAAGGTGGTGCGAATTTTGCAATAGTTTTTGAAATACAAAATTTTTGCTGCCTGAAGTGCAAATGAGACAATGATCAAATTTTATATTAGGTAGGACCATTTGCAGGAATCTTCTCTACCAAGAAGCAAGTACGAAAAAGATGTTTGCATTAACAAGCATACAAGTGTTTGGGGTTCATGGTGGAAAGACCAATGGGGTTACAAGTGTTGCAAACAAATGATACGGAACACTTTGCACAGGTGCAGCTGGAACTGAGGCTGCTGAAGCCACATCTGATCTCATGATATATATCTAACCGATGCAGGAGCTGAAGAGACAAAATTGGAACTTTCTGAATTTTTTTTTGTAATTTTTGGACAGTAGGTTATTAAGTCTTTGAATTGACTAGTTTAGTGGTTATTCTTTTTGGTAATCTTCTATTGTTGAAGTTTTTACTTGAGTGATTACAGTCTGTAAATATGTGTATACACTAGGATCAATGAAGCTTATATGAGTTCCTATAGCAGCCTGTAAATATGTATAGATGTTTTGCCCAAAGGATCAATGAAGTTTTTTTTGAATTCCCACAGCAGTCTGTAAATATCTACAGATGTTCTACTTCTACACGAAGGATCAACGGAGTTTATTTGAGTTCCTACAGCTTATGCAACAAATGGTGGGTGAGTGATTCCCATGCTCTAGAGTGATTCCAGGAAGTAGGAACCCCAAAAACTATTAGTCATCATCAGAAAGATTTTGAATCCTTAAGGCTCAGTTTGAAAAAGAGTACAAATACATACAAAACAATACAAGGTTTTGCACTATACATATTCGTATTTGTACCAATTCCAAATTGAGCCTAATGTTATGTTTGATTTGAAAGAAAAGGTAGGGAGAGGCAAGGAAACCTGTACAAAATTTGTAATGGTTTTCCTATCTTCCTTTCCCTACTTTTTCTTTCAAATCAAACATAGCCTTAAATGTTCCAATTGGCAAAGATACAATTCTAGGCCAATTACTTAGTGCTAGGTCAATTAAAGGTGAAAGAGGTAATTGGGAGGCTACCGCTCCTCTTTAGAGAGAACTTCACCGTTTAACTTGGTTGAGCTGGCCCTTGATCTGATTTTCCCATCACCGCAACTTTATTTTTCAATCCAATGGTGGGAATCGGAGTCAAATGTTTCTTTAAATATAACAGAAGCTTTCTGAATCAATTACACAAGTAAAGAAAAAAAAGAAAGATGATTGGGCCAACTTTGTATAGATATTTCAGTTGGGACCCAAGACATGGATGGTGTGATTCTTGAAACACGAGACACGTGACAAGTTATTGATCCCCCATAAGTCAAGGATTAAGGTATCGATACGATACTTCTGATACGGGGCATATCGTATCCATATCCATGACCATGGATATAGAATACATTACGATTGGATACGTATCTTTGTATCGGTATGATATGCCTCCATATCGAGCCGTATCACACCGTATCAGTGGACACAGTCCGATACACAACGATATGGAGGTGTATCCGTGTATAGTTTGACAAAATTGTGCATTGAGTACTTTTGAATTGTTTTTCATCTTTAATACAAGTTAAAAAATAGTATTATGAAAACTGAAATAAATAATTTAAGATTTAATTTTTCCAAAAAATTAATAAAAAGTAAAAATTATATATTTCATCTACCATAGATGATTTATATAATTTATTTTACAAATAATTATATGTTAAAAATGAAAGCATAGTTATTATTTGAAAAAACAGTTATTATATAAAAATAATAAATAAATAAAATTTCCAAACAAAATTACTAGAAACAGAAGATTATAATTATAAAAACTAAAATGAATAATTTAAGATTTAATTTTCCCAAAAAATTTAATAAAAACTGAAAATTAAATATAATTTATTTTATCTTCCTTAAATGATTTATTTGTTTTATTTTACAATTATGTGTAAATAAAAAGATTATATGTTAAAAATGAAAGCAAATTTATTATTTAAAAATAGTTGTTATTTAAATAAAATACTAAATTAATAAATATTCCCAAAAATTAATAAAAATTGAATATTATAATTATAAAATTGAAAGAGTGATAAATATTGTGCAGTGCAAACTGAACTGGATACAAATTTTGCACTTCATCTTAGTTTTGCATTCATTTATTTGTAACTATGATTTGTACAAAATATGTACTTTTTTTATCTTGTTTGCAATCTTTGGTAGTGCAAATTTGCATTTCTGAAACTGATGCAAAATTTGCACCACCTTTTTCCTACTTCAATTCTCTCACATGTAAAGCGAGAAGCATGCCATCTTGCTTTTCTTCCTCACTCCAAAGATAGACACAAGTATGTTGGCCATATGGCTAGCGGGGCAATTCAGGTAAACGAGAGAGCACAAAGAAGGTTAGGCTTAGGGTGTTAGATGTGTGATCAATGCCTTAGCTAGGGAAACCACAACTGGTTGTGAAATAGTGAAATATTTTGCCTTGCAAGTTGCCTCGGAGGTTACAACAATTTTGCCTCGCAATAATGAAATGTTTTGCCTCACAAGAAAAGACATATACAATTATATAGCTAAGGAGACCTAAGATCATGCTCTAACCGTCTTGTTGTCCTAAAGGACATGTATCCCGAGAAGAGAAATGAACGAGATCTATCCACAAACACCACGATAACTAACTGGGTTCAACTATGATATGGAAAAAATATAATATCTGAAAAATTTCTGACCAATCAATTGGAATCATAAAGATAAGTGTGATGAAGATGAATTATTTTTATTAATGATATACTAGAATACAAAATTAACAACAAATCTAAAAATGAAACATTTTCCAATCTAGGTGATAGGGCCAAAGGTCCAACCTTATAGATCAAATGGGTTAACCCATGATGCCATTATTAAAAAATATAGAAGCACAAAAGATAAAAAAGGATAAAAATTTTGCATAAAACATTTATATAAAAAGAAGGAATGGGCCTGTGTTTTTAGGCATTTTCTTGACCAAAATACCCCTATTTTTGAATTTTACCCCTTTCTATTATGAGGGTAGAAAACATAATTTAGATTGTCACTTTTTTGTTCATCCTATTCCCTTTCATTAACCTATATTAAGGCATTAATTGCCATTCTCTTTCATTGAATTCTGTATCTAAGGCTTTTTTGTTTCTTATTGTTTAACTCCACTTATTTACAATAAAAATTTTAGTAGTCAAATCTATAAAACATAATTTTAAAAGTATAAAAACCTATGATTTAAATGCCAACCGACAAATGAAATCATTTTTCCATGTAGGTAGTTGGTTAGTAAATCAACCATCTAAGTCAAATGATATAGAAATTTAAAAATAAGTAAAATACAAAAAGATTATAAGAAGATATAGAAATTTACCATAAACAACTTTGGGCACATCTCTAATATTAAAAATTTAATATATTAAATAAAAATAAATATGATAAATAAGAGGTATATTTATTAATGATGGAAATGAAATGCAAAATTTAAACTAACAAGGAAATGAAACCATTTTCCAGTTTGGATAGCAAGTCAATAGTTCAACCATTTAGGTTTAAGATGTCAATCTATGGTGTTATAACTAATAACACAATTTTTCAAAAAACAGATATAAATATCAAAAGCAGAACAAAAATAAAAAGTAAAAACAGAAACATCTCTATTATTAATGGTGGTGTAAGTACCATGGTGAGGATAGGTTGGGTGGTCTATTTCGAATATTTGGATCGGATCAAATTTGGGTCACCCTCTATTTGATCCGATATATATGTTATTTATGTATTTATATATATATATATATGATGAAAATAGTTAAAAAAATACTTGTATTTTTATTTAAATTGTTATATTTTATTTTTCTTTTAATAATTTATTAATTTTTTAAAAAGTTAAAAATCGGATTGGATCAGATTCAAATATCCGACTTCCTCATCGGATTCAAATTCAAATATCTATTTGTGAGATCCGATCAGATCTTTCGATCGGATTTAGATATACCTTAAAAGGAGGATTGTATCAGGTTGGTAACTAAGACTAAAACTTTTGCTGCATGATCATAATTCAGATCATGATCATGTTATAGCAGCAACTCAATAAGATGTTCACTCTTTTCTCAGAAGCTTATGCCATTTTGTTTGCTCTTTGTTTCTTCCAAGAAGTGTGGATGTTCTAACCTCCTGGTGGAGTGTGATTGCTTGCCTTTAGTTAGCTTGTTGAATCTGAAACTGAGTTTTTGATCTCTGATATCAAGCTTGAGTCTTATTATTTTGAGGTCTTATGGATTTATGTCCCTAGGTCATCTATTAGTCCATCCCTTTACCTTGCTAGTCCTCTTTGTAATGTGATGGGTGATGGTTATCTAACTCTCCAGCTGAGGTAGCCTAACATCATTTTTAAGAATAAGAATTTGTGGTCGAGCAGTTTAATTTAATTAATTAAAAATTGAGTTTGGAAGAACTGGGTTGAAGACATTTTTCTATATTGATCGATCATAATCAGATGGTATGATTATAGGCGAGCATTCGCTGTTTTGGACTGTTTGGTTGATAAAATCTTGCCTATGGATAGAGAGTTGTAACTTTTTTCTGTTTTTTTTTTTTGATTTTTTTTTTAATTTCACATAATTACCCATTAAACCATAAGGAAATAACATAGGCGTAACTATTTCTAATAACCATAAAGAAAGAGGGATTTGCCTTTCTAATGTTTAGCCAAGTGGCACCACTTTCCCCATTTTCTCCTAAATTGCCTCTAATTTCAATTTATCTCCTAAGTTATTTCTAACTCCTATTTATCTCTTAAATCATCTCTAATTTAGTAGAGAGATTCCCTCCTAAACTATCTCTAATTCCTATTTATCCTCTCCCACACTTTTTATCTACATCTAATCTAAAGAAAGTGTCAATTAAAAAATTTCAGAATTATTTAAATATTATAACAAAATTATATACTTAACTTTAAAATATTTATTCAAAACACAAAAATTAATTATAATAGATTTAATAATATTCATATTATTAATAATTCTATATTTTTACAAAATTCATCATGAAATTATGTAGTAACAATAAAAATTATAATTTTACGAATTATCCAATTTAAATGTTATTCAAATATTAAAAATTACATTAAAAAACAAAACATTATTTACAAATTTCAATAACTAAATATCTTAAATAACAAAACATTAAAAATAGCTAAATAATTATATAACAAAATATTTATTATTACTTAATAACATTAAAATAAATAAAATTAAAATAATGAAAAAAGTTAAATATTTTAAATATTTAAATAACAAAATATTTAACATGACTAAATTTTAAATAGTTAAAATAATGAAATTATGTAATAAATTTAGAAACATTCTTAAACATAGAAAAATAATTATAATATAGATTTCATAATATGCATATTAATAATACTTTAATATTTTACAAAATTAATGACGAACTGTGTAATAATAGTACTAATTATAATTTTATGGATTATTAAAT